GCAGAGACACAGGCAGAGGGAGAAGCAGGCTCCATGCACCGGGAGCCCGACGTGGGACTCGATCCCGGGTCTCCAGGATCGCGCCCCGGGCCAAAGGCAGGCGCCAAACCGCTGCGCCACCCAGGGATCCCTCGTTTTGAAAAGAAACAATAAATGTGTTTTATTAAAATATTTTCCTATAGGAAAAAAATAAAGATCAGGAGGTCATCTGAAGGAGAACAGATGGATAGGGACAAATGATCATTTCGAAGTTATCAGCCTTTTAAATCCAATGAACTTAGACCTTCTTCCTCTGAGCATCACACTTAGAGGAGAGATGCCAAGCAATTCCTAGTTAAATCTGGGTAATTAAATATCCAAAATATTAACTCACCTTTGCTTTTATTTTTCCCAGGGGACAAAGTCCTGGTCTCTGGGAACACGAGAATTCTTTTATTATGACCCTATTTGTCATAGCATGGTTTCTAATTAGACAATTCAGAAACATCCTAAATATCCATCTGCAAGGAAAAGCGTAAGTAAATGCTGGTCTAGTCGTGACCCAGTGTTCCACACCAGCTACAGAGATGCCCAACTCACAATGCGGTGGGGGAAAGCAAGTTGCAGAGAAGAATCCCATGCACTTAAAAGTTGAAAACAGGCACAACAATGCTATATCTTTATGGGTACCTGCACATAAAATAAGAAGAGTAGTAGAAAAATATACATGTTTCCAAATGCAATGCATTCGATTCAGGAGAATGATCCATCTGGGAAAGTGAGCAGGAAGGAACTGATGCCAGGAGGACAGTAGGTGCCGGGTTTTATTTCTCGAAAAATATCATGTAGAAAATATGAGAAGATGTTAGGGTTTGCTAGAGCGGAATGGTGGGCGTGTGGGGCTTTGTTATTAATCCCTGTATTTTTCCAGATGTTTAAAATATTTATTTTTTTTAAAGATTTATTTTTATTTATTTATGATAGAGAGAGAGAGAGAGAGAGAGAGAGAGAGAGGCAGAGACACAGGCAGAGATAGAAGCAGGACCCGATCCCAGGACTCCAGGACTGCGCCCTGGGCCAAGGGCAGGCGTGAAACCGCTGGGCGACCCAGGGATCCCCTAAAATATTTCTTAATTTAGAAAGTAAGTTCCCTGTCTTCCACTGGCTGAGGACACCATGTGTTCAAAGTGCACTACCGTTGACCTGATGGGGAAACAATTGATTTTGGGATCCTGAGTTCAAGCCTCACATTGGGCGAAGAGACTCTTGATCTTGGGATCGCATTGGGCAGAGAGATTACTTGAAAAAAAAGAAAGAAAAGAAAAGAGAAAAGAAAAGAAATTAAAAAAAAGGAAAGAAAGAAAAGAAAAGAAAAGAAAAAAAGAAAAGAAAAGAAGACATGTGGACCAAACAAAGGAGGTCCAGAGAATGAATCAGGATACTTGGCCTCTGGTTAAGCTTCAGACACATGGTAACTCTGTAATTTTAGGCAACTGTTTGAACCTCAGTGTCCTCATCAGTAAAATAGGGATAATCTCTCTCACCTACTTCACAGGGAGGTAGTGAGGGCAAATGAGGCCATAATAACTGGAGCAAGAAGAAGTTGTTGGGATAATTGCTGCTAATGACTGAGCAGTTCCTGTATTTTCAAATAAGCAGTAAACATTCATTATTGTAAAGCTATTAATAACTCTATGATGTAGGTATTATTGTCTATGGGTTTTTTTTTTTTTTTTGTCATTTAAAAAAAATAGTAAGGCTCAGAGGCAGACGGTTTTCCCATGTTCTTCCCTCCAGAACCAATCCCTGCCAATAAGGAAGGGGCAGTGACATGGGGGTGAGGGTGACCCTGGTGATCCAGCACAGGCAGTTCTGACCAACAAAGACGATGGTGAACGGCCAGGAGAAGCAGATGCCCTGAGACATGGGAAGTCTTGCAAATGCAGAGTCAATCGGTCTGGTGGCGGCAGAAACCAAAGGTGAGAGAGGCTGCTGGGCCAGGGAGGGTGTGCCTAGGGGACGCCATGGTCCATAGGGGATTTAGGCTGGGGGTTTGTGGAAGTTATAAATCAGCAGAGGCCAGGAAGCAGCAGGAAGCAGGGTGGTGTTGGCCAGTGACGGTAGGAACAACGGGAGGAACATACTAGATGTTCAGTATAGAAATCCCGTTCTTTCCTTTCAAACCTGCAACACCCACCGCGCCCCCTCCCGCCCTCCAGTGACTGGATGGCAACTCCACTTTCCAGTTGCTCAGGGCAAAGTCCTTTGAGTCATTTTGACTTCTCTGGGCTTTTTTTTTTTTTTTTCCATATCCCATGTCCAACCCATCAGATAATTTTGTTGACTTTACTCAAATTACAGCCAGAACCAGACCACCTTATGCCATCTCTGTTACAGCCATCTGGTCTGAGCTTGGATTATCACACAGGCTTTTCTTTAAGATTTTATTTTTAAGTAATCTCCACACCCAGTGTGGGGCTGGAACCCACAACCCTGAGACCAGGGGTTGCACAATCCCCCGACTGAGCCAGCCAGTCACCCCATCACACTGGCTTTTCAACTGGCCGGTTCCCAACCGGAAGTGAGAGCGATTTTTAAAATTTTTAAAAATTAATTTATTATTTTTTAAAATGTTATTTATTTTAGAGAGCGAGAGAGCGAGTGAGTGCGCGCGAGAGAACACGAGTGGGAAGGGCAGAGGGAGAGGGAGAGAGAGACTCTCAAGCAGACTGCACACTGAGCGTGGAGCCCCACATGGGGCTCAGTCCCAAGACCCTGAGATCATGACCTGAGCTGAACCAAGAGTCTGATGCTTAGCTGACTGCGTGACCCAGGTGCCCTGAGAGTGTTTTTTTTTTTTTTTTTTTTTTAATGTCAGATGTTTATTTGAAGTGCACACCATTTCCCAAAGCCTTCCCAAGCGTCCCTATTTACGAGCACCCTCAACCTCTCTGGCGTTGCCTCCTACCATCCCCCCACCCCCGAGTCCATTCTGTTCCAGCCTCCTGAGCATCTCTACCCTCCCCAAGCACCAGACACCCTCCTGTCTCAGGCCTCTGATGCTCCTCTCCTGGGAGGCTTTCCATCCAGATGTCGCCCTGGCTCATCCCAAGCCTCCTCAAGAACCTCGCCCAACCCGGGGGAGGTCTTTGCCACCCCCAGTTCCACGCCTCGCTCCTCCGCATCTCCCTCCCCTCATTGTTCGCCGCTGCCTCTACCACCCCCAGTCTCCACATACTCTAGGGCTTCCTTATTTGGGACACAGCCTGTGTCCCACACTAGACTCCAAGTTCCACATGGGCAGGAATTTTCGTTGGTTTCACTCACTGTGTGTCCCCAGGACCTGGAACAGAGCCTGAGAACACATGTTTGTTGAATGAATGAATGAATGAATGAATGATCAGATTATTCTCCTCTCTCCAGCAGCCTGGAAGGCCTTGTTGACACCATACATTCCCTTTCCACCTGGTCCTGTGCCATCCACAGCCCCAGACACATCTACAGGGGGGTGCAAAAGGAGGGTTCAACTGGTCCCTTTAGCCAGAACATTCCTCCCCCTCCCGAGGTCACATGTGGACGCTCTAGGTGGTGTTAGTCGTTTGAGCACATGTTAGAGGTCTTCAGGGGCCGCGGGTGGAGGGGGCCCTCGCTTCTGGAACAGCCCCCTGTGCCTGGCATGGGACTTTACTCCTGAAAGGTCTGCATCCGTGGGACGTGGGACGGTAGAGGCAGTAGGAGAGAAGGGAGCGAAGGAACCTGGGAGAAACAAGGCCTCAGGGCTGAGGGTGGGACTGGGGGTGCGGTTGGGGCCGGGAGCCCTGGACGCAGAGGCTCAGCACACGGGGCTTCGCGTCCCTGTGGGACAGGACGACCCGAGGAGCGGGAGTGATGGGGCGCAAGGCGGGGGGACCCAGGCTGGGACACACGTCCGCCGGCCCCGGCCAAGAACGACCGGCAGCCTTCACAGCAGCGGGCAGCCTGCATACTTCCACTCCGAGATTTTGAATTCATGCTGCATCGTCGCCCACTAACGGGGCTGCATCGTTCATACTCGCGGACCCTGAGGGCGCGGGGCCCAGGACACCCGCTGACCCACGCTCAGCTGGGGGGCGCGGGGAAGAGCAGCCCCCGGGAGGCAAGTCCCCCGACGCCCAGTGGGTGGGGAGCCCGGTCCCCGCAGGAGCCCAGCCCAGCGCGTCCGAACTGCTTCCCCCTCCTCCACTGGACTTTAATTAGTAAAAAAAAAAGTTTAATGTCCAAATGCACATTATTCCCTGTGGAAGCCTCGGCGCCAGCAGCCCCACGCGCTGAGTACTAAGTAAACACGATGCCCACGCGGACACCCAGGCCCCCAGGCCTTGTTCTTGGCTGGGAACTTAGGGGGCCTGTGGGGCAGAAGCCCGGCTCTCAAGGGCTCTCCCTGGAGAGAGAAAGCCAGGGGGTGGCCGGGCCTTGGGGCCCCACTTTCCGGAGTGGGGGGCGGGAGGGGGGAAGGCCCGGGGGCATGGGGCTGGGGGCCCCACGGGGGCTGGGGGTGCAGCAGCAGCTCAACCACCAGAAGGGGATGGGGGACAAAGGCGTAGGGCCTGGCCACTGTCTCCAGACCCGGCAGGGAGCTGAGGGCCGAGGGCACGGAGCACTGAGATGTCCCAGGAGCAGGAGTGACAGGCTGCCAGGGACACAGGCCGCGGGGAGGGTGGCCAGCAGTGGCAGCTGTAACTGCTCCCTCGCCTGGCTCCTGTCCAGTGCCGGGAAGTCAGGAGCCACGCAAGACCTCGTTAGCCCTTGTGACCAGAGGGCAAAGAAGTCCCAAGATGCCACCTGTCTCACCCCATTCCTCAGCTGGGCCTTTGCCCCTCCACTTTGGCAGGTGCAGTTGCTCCTTTCCCGTGGATGTACTTCCTGTGACCACTTCTAATTCGCCCCCAATCAAGGGAAGAGGCAGATGTTTACACAGCCGACCATCTCATCTGGAGATGTGACCCAGATGTGATCTTTCCAATCAAAGGTCTGACTCACTGTTACACGCAATCATCTGTTTTATTTTAAAACACGTCCACACTGCATTGAACACCAACACAGATGTGACCAAGAAACCCACAGTCCTGTCCCAGCAGGCGGCGGGTCCAGTGTATGACTTGGGGCGGACGCTACGGTTCACAGTGAGAGGAGAAAAGCAAGGACACAAAAGACAAAAAGGACTTTGTCCCCGACTCCAGTTCAGGAATCGGAGTGATGAAACAGAAGGCTCCGGAAGCTCACAAAGCCCTCCTAAGGCCCCTTCTCTCAACCAGCAGATATCCAAATTGGACCTTGGGTGGGGGACCAGCCCGACTGGGTTCGGGAGGCCTCGCTGTTTAAGATACCACCCCCCATGTTACTGTGGCGGAGACAGAAATGCGCTGTGCTTTTCCAAAGGATAGTTTACTTTTTCATACGAGTTGCAAGGATAAGAGACCTGCACAAGCACAACCGTGACAGAGCATCTGCTCAGCGTAAAAACTTTGTGTTTGGGTAAAACAAGTCAACTGACCTACGGGAAGATATGTACTGAGCTGAATGGGTGGTGCCCACCCCAGATGGCAGGTGGGTCCTCTACTTTGACGACCTTTCCAATGATGACCCCATGGAGGGCGTGTGGTATGTGTCACCAAGATGGGCATTTCTTTTATTTTTTACATCAAGTCTTTGAATCCACCTGCTTTCTTAAAATTACAGGATTATTATGATGTCCTACGTCTTTCCTCTGAGGCAGAAAGTAAATGTTAGGAGCCTGGCAGGTTCTATTTCTCAGGCCAGAGGCACACGCAGGGTTTCCTTCTGTGTGGGGACCACCATGGTTCTTGGTTTCTGGTACATCTGAGCCTTGGGCACCATTGGGCCCCCAGCAGTCTCGCTGGCATCAGAGCCAAGACTTCCATATTCCAGAACAAAGCAGCCAATCTGAAGGGCTTAGAGGTCATGGAAAGGAAAAAGCCTGCCCCAGGAGCTCTGGCTCCCCATCGTCTGAGGGAAGAGGAGGCGGCAGGTGGGAGCAAGCCTTTGAGTCACCAAGCCATCGCTGGAGAAGGCAATAAGCAAGCCTAGAGCCTGCCCCATGACCTTATTGCGACAAACAAATCCCTTCTCCAAACGATAGACTTCCTGTTTATGACCTAACACAGGCGCCTTTGAAATTATTTATCTGGGCCAGGGAAAGGCAGTTGGTCATTACATATTATACAAGTTTAGATTTTTCTATTTGATTATTCACATGAAGTTAGGCTTTAAAAAAGCAGGCCAGACTGGAATGTGTACATTTCAACGGATCGGAAATTGCAAAATGCTTCTGCTGTTGATGAACGTCGCACTCAACTCAAGGGCTCCATTGGTATAAATATTGCCAGACTTGATTGCATTTTAACAATACGAGAGAACGGTCAGAACGGAGATGGGAGCATAATTTCTAACATCAATTAAGTTATATTGTCTTAGTTACAAATCAGTTTACGTGGTTTTGCTCCATTTTCTAGGCATTGTGTCTTTTGAATCCTCTTTTGCAAAATTTATATTTAAAAACATTTTCAGAAGACAAATGCCCGCCTAGAGGAGCAAGTCTTGTGAACTGTCTTTCCTTGGGTTACTTTTGGTAAGTGGAGGGATCACCATGGATTTGGTAGTGGGATCGCCAAGCATTTCCATGGGTCATCTTCTCCCACATGCTTGGGGACGGGGAAGTCGGAAACTCTTTTAAAGGTGTTGGTAGAAGGGCACAATTCTTCAGCTCTTTAGGGCCTGTGGAAACAGAGAAAAAGGTGACTGTCACTTCTCTTACTGGCACTGTAAATAGTAATCCTATGAGTCATGGTCCTATTGGGTCCTATTGTCCTTTTGTATAAATCTTGCCCTTCTGCAACCTGGAGCTCTTCTGCTCTCTCTCCTCATTCCTCCTGCCGCCCTGGAGGCACCGTCACGGCCACGGTCTGATTCCCAGGCATTTCCAAGCACGTGAACCTGTGACCCTATTGTGGGCTACGTCCCTCCACCCGGTATTTGTTGTATACTATTTGCCCTCTCTGCCCCCATTATCTATCATCTCCCCAGCAGAAATAAGAAAAAGCTTCCCTCTGGTTATGAGTTTGAATCTTCTGAATTCTTACGGAATTTTCATAAAGAGAAAACTCCTTCTTTTCATAATAGTCGCTGCTAGGGGTTCACTAGCAAGTGCGTGGGTGTGTGCAAGGCAGGAGTGGAGGGAGGGGACCCTACCACCAGAAGGATTCTCATTACATGGTGCCCTGGCTCTGCAATGGATGCTCAGCTGGAAGCTACCTACCTCCCTCTGATGACTGGAAACGGGGCAATTAGGTGTCAAGTTGAAACTTGGTGTGGGTTTTCTTTCAAGTTCAGTTAGTTGAAAAATTAGGACAAGAGGTCAAATTTGGTTAGATCCCAGTTGGAGTCAACTAAAAAGCCATCTCTGGCTCTAACTCTTTCTTTCTTTCTTTTTTTTTTTTTTTGGAAACTTAGAAGGGCCAAGTAGATACCTGTTCTACTGGGGGAACTTCAGGTGTAGTCCTCACAGAGGTAAGGCCCTTCTGAAAATGATTTTTTTTTTTTTTTTAAGTAAACTCTACACCCAACATAGGGCTCAAACTCACAACCCCAGGATCAAGAGTTGCATGCACCACCCACTGAGCCAGCCAGGCGCCTCTGAACATGATCTTTATTTAGAGGTTTCTATCAGCTCAAAGGTCGGAGTAGTAGCTATGACTGCTCTCATTTACCTACCACATGGGTGTAAGTTATCTACTTACGAGTACCTTCCTGACATTTTTCGAGCAACCACAATGATGATCCCACCAATGAATCCAATGGCTAGTAAGACTCCAACTATGATCCCAACCAGGGTCACTGTTGCCAGGCCATCTGAATGAGGAGGAAGAAAAAAGCATGAGCCCTAGATAAATGGTACGCCTGTGAGAAAATGTGTCACTTATTACACTACCACTGCCCCCACGGAAGATAGCAGATCATTCTCTAATTTGCTTCTCCTTATCCAGTGGGAGTTGACTTAGAAGAGATGAAACTTTGGGCTACTCTCATCCCCTCATACGAATGGAAAGATTCCTGGGTCTCAGGATCTATTAAGCATACCACTCATACTGGGTGGCTTCGCTGTTAATTACTAGGTAGTGGTTGTGTGCTGTATGAAATTAGCCCCTCTTTTCATTCTTTGGAACAATAAATTGTGATATGACACCATTTTCCATGGCTGTCATTAAGTGACTAGACTCATTTGTGGTTTGCATATTTTCAAATACAGGCGATCTTCTTTTCTCTCTTAAAAGAGGTTTGAAACCTATTCTTAGAAGGTTCCGTATTCTGCTCTTGTTGACTACAATCCAGGAAAGCATGTAACTCATCAAAAGATTAGCTTCAAAGAAACTTTTTTTTTTTTAAACTCCCATAAAAATATTTTGATAACAAAATCTAGCCTACCTTTCTCAACCGTTGTCTCGGTGTCTTCACCTACTTTCTCTGTAAAGAAAGAGACGTAATGATACAGAATTATTAGGATATAATAACTATAATTTAACAACTGGCAAAAGATGAATTTACCCTAAGTAGAAGGTAGCAAAACACAAGCAAAGAGGATAATTTCTTAAATAAATTGGATCAGGGGATTTTTGAAGCAAGCTCTGACACGATCCTGTCTTCAAAACTATTATTACTGAATTTATTAATGCTTCTTCACACCTATGAGTTCATACTATTTTGGTGTACCTTACTTTTTTCTCATCTACTTTAGAGACCAGAGTCAGGGAAATTAACCCACAGAGATCTTACAGAAATGGTCAAAAAGTGTCAGAGGTTTGGGTAACAAAAGAAGCCAAGGCTATTGATTCTTGGTCCAAAGTCAAGACTATAGAAAACTCATTCACTGTGATAAGGTTTATTTTGAAGGATTTTATTTTGAGAGCAATGTATTCTAGTTCTAGAAAATGGGGCCTACACTACCATTTGTCTTGTGATATCAATTCCCTGCCTTTTCTTTAGAAGCAAAATCCACATCTTACAGGGCAGCAATATGCCCAGCTAAGTTTTTTGTTTGTTTGTTTGTTTTGTTTTGTTTTTCACTGGACAGCTAAGTTTAATAAGAGAATATACTCTTTGTGTTTATGTCACTGTTAGGTTAGGATTTCTCTCTGCAATCAAACCTAGTCCGATAGTTACAATGGGAATAATAGCATTTATCTATCACATTGGTGTGAGTTATTAACTTACAGTAAGTAAGCAGTAAAGTTACTTCTTTCAGATAATTTTACAAATGCTATTTTAAAAAAAAAAAAACATGTTTGGTTTGGTTTGGTTTTTCCCATCATTCTCTTTGCATACCAACACTTTAACTCCTCTGGGTAGCACTCATTTACCTGGTTTGCAGATGGAGGAAAAGCCAAGAGGCTGTCTTTTAATTAGACAATGGAGAGAAGTCAATCAATCAGGTCCCTCCCTAGATCTGTAGTTTACAACATGTGAATACTACAGATATCCAAGGGCTTTTCAAATCAAAGGTGAAAGCATTATCTACAAAATGCTTACTTTTTCTAATGTTTGGATTTGAAAGATGTCTTTGTACCATGGCTTTCTTCAAAAAAAGGCACCTTTACAAGATGGCCCCGGGATAAAGGTTCCTGAACCCAGCTCTGCCACCATGAGCTGAAGCCATGGCTCTGGAGCATTCACATGGAGCTCAAGCTGATGGTGCTATCTCACCATTAAAAAAATGGTTCATACTGGTGGATCTGAGGCCAGCCTGGAACAAAGTTATCATGGAATCTCTCCTAATAGGCCATCCCTGGCTGCCAACTACCAGTAGAGAAAGGTCAGTCATTTGTTTATCTTGTCCTAACGTGATGTAACATCATGTCCTGATTCCAGACTTGTAATGCATCATTATCACCATCAATGATGTCATTGGTAGAAAAGGTATTGCCAAAAACTGTGGAAGATGTGTTACCAAATTAGAGATTATTAGTTCTATCCACCCTAGCTCTCACCCAATTACAACTGAAATGTAGTCATGAGAGTGTGTCATATGTGTGAACATCATCATGCTTGGGTGTTTCATGGGAAAGACATCTGTTGCCCTAATAAAATCACCTCTTAAAAAAAAAAAAAACTAAGTGCTTATAATTACATTTTAACTCACATGTGAAAATTTCTTGGGACACTGATGTATTATGTGGAAATGTACCATAAGTCATACTTTTTGTGACAGGGTGGGGCAGGAGACAGGATAGGAGTGTAATCATGGGTATTTTCCAGAGAATTGAGAGTTTTGTTTTAAAGGAATAGGTGCAGTGTCCTGGATGATAGGAAGACTCCTCAACTTGGGACACTCCATTTTCTGCAGCTCATTAGCTGTCAACTCATTTCACAAATGATCGATTCTTCTCCAAACTTTTGAAATGCTTTCCAATGACCAATTATATTGATGATTCTTTCCTTGCTTGGCCCTATTTGGCTCTATCTGGTGTTTAAATGTTCACCTTTTTTTGGCATCTCAGAGTGACTTTTGGGCTTTATTTTCAAACCATTTCATAAAACCCTTTTTCCCCCTACCGTAGCAAAAGACACATGACATAAAATTTACTGTCCTCACCATCTTACAATAGATAGTTTGGCAGCATTGAGTACATTCAGTCTTGACATCACCATCCTCTACCCCCAGGATTCTTTCCATCTCACAGTTAAACCTATACTTGTTAAACCCTAACTCCCCCCCTAGCTCCTGGCCACCACCATTGTATTCTCTGTCTCTATGAATTGGATTGCTCTAGGTAGCTCATATAAGTGGAATCATACAGGATTTTTCTTTGAGTGACTAGTTTATTCCATGTAGCATAATGCCTTCAAGTTTCATCCATATGGTAGCAGGTGTCAGAATGTGCTTCCTTTTAAGGGCTGAATAATAGTCCATTAAATGTACATACCATATTTTGTTTATTCATTCATCTGTTGATGGACATCTGAATTGCTCTCATGTTTTATGTATTGTGAGTGATGCTGCTATGGGCACTGTGTATAAAAACATAAAGCAACTAAAAAAAATTTTTTTTAAATACGCTCCACCCCCAATGTGGGGCTTGAACTCATGAGCCTGAGATCAAGAGTTGTATGCTCCACCAAATGAACCAGCCAGGCACATCAAATATAAAGCAATTTAAAAAATTCCTCAGAAGTGCTACAGAGTTTTTAAAACTAGAGTGGTGATTAGGTCTAGAAATGTTTATTGATAATAATAATAAAGAGTAACTTTCTAGGTGTTCAGCTGTGCAACTGATTTAAGGAACCATCAATTTAGGCAAAGACTTTATGTTTACTTTCATTTAAAGATCGAAACACCTATCTAGGTAAAATAATTTACATAAAGTTGCTCATTAGTAAGCATTCATTGTAGTTATTGAAGGATTGGTTTTTTTCCCCCTCTCCCACCCCACTGACTACAATATAAGGCATTTTTTTAAAGATATTTAGTCATGAGAGATACAGAGAGAGAGAGAGAAGCAGAGACACAGGCAGAGGGAGAAGCAGGCCCCATGCAGGAAGCCTGATGTGGGACTCGATCTGGGGACCCCGGGGTCATGCCCTGAGCCCAAGGCAGACGCTCAACCACTGAGCCCCCCAGGTGTCCCAAAATAAGGCAATTTTAAAATACAAATCCCAAACAACTAAATTTTTTCTTAAGAAAGCTCTAGAAATAGGAGGCTATCTCTTTCCATTGTTAAGTTGTCATGGCAATGAGTTTTCCTCATTCTCAGCGATGGTCTACACCTCACAATAACAACAAAGTCCCAACGTGGTGCTCCTTTTACACTGCTGCATGGTTGGTGCCAACTACGAATCAAAGTACAGCCCCTAATCCTGGCAAGACTGATTTAGAATAGATTCTTGTTCCATGTGTACAGACATGAACTCAGTGTGAGATGGTAAATAGTAGCACAGAATCTATTACAACTCACAGGGGTTGGTTTAGGTTTCCGCTCTAGGGAGTCAATACAAAGTTCTTAGTGTAGCATCATATCAACTTATGGTCAGCAACATAACACGAGTAGCTCACTTGTCCTTGTGGGGACATTATCACTAGTTGTCATTCAAAGTGAAGAGCTGTGTTCAGCAACCCAATAAATAAAATTCAACTTAGCAACCCTATAAATTGAATTTTGAACCTCGCACATTATAAGCCTTGGTTCAGAATTCGCTCTTAGCTTTCCAGTATGTGCCCTACTAATTGTTAGGTTTGTTCTTGGATATTTGGAATGTATTGATTTGCAAAAGATCAACACCTATTGGGGCAACCGGTTTTCTTACCTCTGGAGTGACTAGTCACTACATTCAAGGTTGTGGTGCTCTGGCTCTCTTCTTTGGCATGGACTGTGCTTTCTTGAGTCGGCCCATCCTCTAAGTGTAAGTCTGTTACACTCTCTGTATTTGTTGGCACCTATTTGAGAAGTAAATGAGGCAAAGAGAAATAAAACCCAATGTTTTAAAATATATACACAGTCCCTTATAACAGAAAAGGATTTAAAGTGGCATACATACATAAAATATATGATGACATAAATTTAAAGTGCAAATAAGAAAACAAACAAACAGAAATGACAGACTGGGGACAGGAATACAACCAAATGTACTCCAGAAATAAACACCAAATATTTGGCATGTTGGCTTTCTAGGGTCTTAATTCTCAAAAAAAATACTAGGTCACTAGACTTTAATTCTTCCTCTCTCTTGAGCTTGAATGGCATTTTCTCCCCTCTAATATTTGCTTGGCACATATTATGTTGTATCATCGATCAGTGCCCTCCCTCCCCCAATTAGAGTAATAACTGGCCTTTATCGAGAGCTTACTGTGTGCTAGGCCCTTTAAAGACCTTCTCATTTACTCCGTAAACAACCTTGTAAAGTAAATCCTATTATTAGTCCTATAGCCTAAATGAGGCCTAGAGAGATTAGACAACATGCCCAAACTCACAGAGCCAACAAGCAAGAAGACTTGGAAGGGATTTTGCTGCCTCCAACGTTCATGCCAATGTAGCATTCAACACATATGCTAGTGAGCACAGGCAACAAAAGCACAATTAGGTTAAGTGGGTCGGAGTCAAACTTAAAAACTTTGTAGCAGGACACAATCAACAGAGTAAAAAGCAACCTATGGAATGGGAGAAAACATCTGCCAATTATATACCTGATAAGACTCTGAAGAACTCCTATGACTTAACAACAGAGAATTAAATAGCTTGATTCAAAAATGGGCAAAAGGGGGCAGGCACCTGGGTGGCTCAGCTGGTTAAGCATCCGATTCTCCATTTCAGCTCAGATCATGATCTCAGGGTCATGAGATCAAGCCCCATGTGGGGCTTTGCACTCAGAGTGGAGCCTGCTTAAGATTCTCTCTCTCCCTCTCTCTCTCTCTGCTCCTCCCCCTCCCCACTTGCACCCGCTTGCACCTCTCTCAAAAAACAAAACGAAACAAAACAAAAACCAAAAAATAAAAAATAAAAATAAAAATAAGCAAAAGGACTTGCATAGACCTTTCCCCAAAGATGATATAAATGGTCAACAAGCGTATAAAAGATGCTCAGTATCCCTAATCATCAGGGAAATACAAATTAAAACCATAATGTGATTATCACCGCATACCTGTTAGGTCGGCTACTCTCAAAAGAATGGAAAATAACATATTGGTGAGAAACTGCGGGTAGGATTGTAAAATGGTGCAACCACTATGGAAAACAAGAAGGAGGCTCCTCAAAAAAATTAAAAATAGAGCTATCGTATGCCTCATCAATCCCAGTTCTGGGTGTATAATCCAGTTGAAAGCAAGGTCTGGAAGAGGTATTTGCACGTCCATTTTCATAGTAGCACTATTCACAATAGCCAAGGGCTGGAAGCAACCCAAATGTCCACTGACCAATAAATGGAGACACAAAATGTGGTTAGAGACGTACAGTGGAATAATAATCAGCCCTAAAAAGGAAGGACATTCTCACATGTGCTACAAGATGAATAAACCATACGGGTATAATTCTAGGTGAAATAAGCCAGTCATAAAATGTCCTTGCATACGATTGCATGCCTATGGCACCAATTCCACTCTTCCTGGAACACTCACCAGAGGGATTAAGCCAGACTCATTAGGCTCTTCAGTGGCACCGTCAGTCACCACGTTATCTTCTGCGCCTGGCGTCACCATGCTGTCTTCTGTGCCTGGGGTCACCACGCTGTCTTCTACACCTGGTGTTATGTCATCTGGCCGGACTGTGCTGGCTGAAGAAGAAAGACTGGGTCAGGGCTTAAGGTAGCAATTGTGTGGGTAGACCTCACTGGCCAACTACAACCAGATTATTTACCGTTTTGGGGGGGGGATTTTTTTGGGGGTCATCTTTCCAGCTTACCACAAACCATTCTCCTTGCTGCACCTCTGTCACATACAATGGTGTGGTCAACTCCACAGCCAGGCAAAAGGAGCTAAAAATACAAAATGGTGGAGCCATTTGGCGGGGTGACAGTGGGATGCCTACTTCGCCTTTTCAGTATTGAACCAGATACTTCCTGGTGCCATTTCACACAATCAATTAGTGTATTCAGGTTAATGTGGAATATCATTCAGACCTGGAAAAATTCTATGTTACAGTCACCTGGGAAGATTTCTAAAAATACGAATTTGCAGGCTCTATCTCTAACATGCTGAATCAGAATGCCCAGAAGTGGATCCTATCTCTTAACCATCCAGTGTGCTTTCCATTTAATTTTGAGACGGATGTCTCCTTGAGTGATTAGAACCGTTGGCTCCGACCACAGACCTCCCAGGTAAGGTCAACCTCTTATTTTATAGTTGAGGTTAATGTCTATGAGGGAGAGTCAGTCACGCACGTAACGGTGCTGAGATACCCAACGGAAGTCCTAGCGCGCAGAGAGCGATGCTAACAAGGGACCTCAGTGTCCCTGGAGGCGGCTCTTCTGTGTTAACGTTGAATGAATGACCCTGTTGTACCAGTGAGAGAGGTTTCCCAAGGAGCAGGGGACGGGTGGAGGGGGTTAGCAGGTTGAATTAGACACGAAGGTGGAGTGGGGGAAGCAGAACAGATAACAACAGTGGCCTTTTCCTTGACCTCTGTCACAATGATCCAAATGAGTCACGACCAAGCAGGGGCATTGTCTTCATTCACCAAATAGCACTTTTCACAAGTTAAAAATCTGACTCATTGGCCATGGGCTCCCTCCCCATACTCAGAGCGGCTCTGGAAACTCCGTGGCTAAATACAGTTGCCGACTAAGCAAGCGTACACATCCCAGGAGCAAGAGGGAGGCGGTGCTTGGAGACTGGGTTTTATAATTAAAGAGTAGATGCTTGTACCCAGGCGGTGCTCAAGTCAGCAATCCCGTCTTTGCCTTAAGATATATTATTTCTCCCTGTGCTTAGAGAGCCCAGCCAAAGGCACAGCTAATAAATATTTGATCATAACTTCTTTGCTGATGGAGGGAGAAAGTCTCAAGAGTGAATTCGCCTGCTCCGTGAGCCTTTCCTTTGCATCTGGAGTCCTAATCCGGGGCTGTCGATCAATGGCTTTGGATGAGCCCCCGAAGCAAAGGCATTTATTTTTTCATCTGGGGGGGAATGGATTTCACCAGTTAGCAGTGACTGAACACCTCGAGCAGTTTGCCTCCCCTCTGGCAGCGCGCTGGGGTGGCGGGGGGCAGTGATGCGCTGCCACCGGGATTTAGGCCTGTGGTGTTGGGCAAATGCTGAATGTATTTATCAAGCTCAGGGGGGAAATAGCCCTTGGCCGGCCAAGTAGACCCTACTAAACCCACACGTCTGAAACCTCCTGAAACCTCCGGCCCGCTTTCTTTTCTTCCTCTCCTGGTTTGACCAGTTAACAAGTCATCAGTGTTACGGATGTGTTCTGGGGGGGGCCCGCTCAGCAAAGCCCTTTATTATGTGGCATCCTCCAAACTTTACAAGACAAAGCAAAACAGCCTTGCTTAAAAAAAAAAAAATCAAGTACTGAATGAAGTTGGTTTGCACTCTTTCATAGAAAGTTCAGCTGGTGGAAAGCGTAACTTGATAAAAATGCCTTCTTGTCCTTGGCCCCAGAGCCAAGTACTAAGATCGCCCTGAATAGACAAAGGCTGTTTCATGAATGACACTCGTGATTAAGACGCGCAGCTTTTGTCTCACTGCCCTGGCTTTCTCTCCGCTCCATGGGAAAGCTGATCTCTAACAAGGGATCTTCGACTGTCCCTCTTATTATTTTGGTTGAAGCCTTTCCCGGGTGAAGAGTTCCTACCAGCCCAGCTGCCCCGTTTCCAGCCAGCGATCGACGCCCTTTCGCCTTGACCAGTGACATTCAAATCACGGGGCGATGCCTTGGTCCTCAGATTCTCTCCTCCCGAGGCACGTGCGTGCACAACCACACACACACCTGGCCACGTAAGCCCAGGGCCGAGCCCACAGCAAGCGCCAGTCCTGTGCCCCGCTAGCCTCATGCTCGGGGACACTTGACCCAGCCTGGGGGCCTCACCCTCCTGGGGCCATCACCCACCTGGGGCCATCACCATCCTGGGGGCCTCACCCACCTGGGGCCATCACCCACCTGGGGCCATCACCTGCCTGGGAGCCTCACCTGCCTGGGGGCCAGAACCCGTGGGAGTTTCCAAACTCAGGGGCAACACATCCATTGGCTTTGGGATTTGTGTGTGGGTGTTATTCTTTCAAAAACTCGGCCGGATTTTTTATTAACCAGGAGAAGGTGTGATAAATCAATGTTCCCTAAAGTTCTTAAGTCTGAGAACCAGCAGAACAGAGGAGATCCTTAGCAGTTTGAAAACGCTAATTGTCAATCACTTTTATCCTCGCATTGAAGCCTGATCTCTGGAAAGAAATGATTCGTTTCCATACTTTTATGGGATGCCCTTTTGTTTAAAATATTTCAGAATCTAGGGGCACCTGGGGGGCTCAGCGGTTGAGTGTCTGCCTCTGGCCCAGGGCGTGACCCCGGGGTCCCGGATCGAGCCCCACATCGGGCTCCCCGCAGGGAGCCTGCTTCTCCCTCTGCCTGTGCCTCTGCCTCTCTCTGTGTCTCTCCCCCTTCCTCCTCAAGTTGGCTGCTAGCGGAGTTAATCCAGTGCCCCGGGCAGGTGTAGGGGTGTAGACCGCGAGGAGGAGGAGTAGGCTACTTTAACCAAAGTGCATTGAGGCCTCTCTAAGTTGTAGGTCCTGCTCCACGTGGGAGGCCCCAGCTTTATAACATTTGCCCCCACCCGTCCCCCAGCATAGGCCTTGTTTGTTTGTTATCTTTTGACTGACTTCATTTCAAAATGGCCTGGTGGGTGAGCTGCACTGGCTCGTTCCCTTTATCGGATTAGGGAAGTGAGGCTGACAAAGCTCTCTCCTTGACCAAAGTCTAGTTGGGCTTCTCTGTCCGTCCCTGCAAGCGTCTAGGTCACTTTAGAGCCGGCTCCCTCCTGACCAAGCTCCCCATCCCCCACCTGGATGTCTAAGTGGGAGGCTTGCCTTTAGCAAGAATCCTGTCGGGCCAGTTGAGCAAGAACCGCCCCCTCCCCTTAACGTGTTCTCTCCACACTCTTCCATTCACTCCCCTCCTACCTGCCCCCCCCAACTCTGCTCCTCGGTTATAAATCCCCAGCGATCTTTGCTGTACTTAGAGTTGAACCCTCTCTCTCTCTCCCCCTATTGCAATAATCTTGAAGAAAGTCTTCCAACTGTTTTAAAAAGCGTCAGAATCATTGTCTAACATAGGAAATGAAACGGTTTGTCCAGGGGGCACCTGGGGGGCTCAGTGGTTGAGCGTCTGCCTTCGGCTCAGGGCCTGATCCTGGGGTCCTGAGATCGAGTCCCGCATTGGTGGGGAACCCGCCTCTCCCTCTGCCTGTGTCTCTGCCTCTCTCTGTGTGTCTCTCATGAATAAATAAATAAAAATCTTTAAAAAATATATATATAAAAATGATTTGCTTAGATCACCTGGTCGGCGAGCAAACACCAAGCCAAGTGTTTTAACGGCTCATCCACGTGCTCACCGACAAAACAAAAGACATCTTTGTGGCACCATGGCCACAGTGGGCCGGAAAGCCCGCTGCCCCCTCCCTGGGCTCTGACATCCTTCCTCTTCAGCCTTCATCCTTTCATAAATTGTAATCCTGGTTGTCAGAAGCAGTTGCTCACTCTGGCATCACATGTCCTCTTATGAAATCCCATCTGGTTAGAATCTTCCAGCCCAATTATTTAGGGACCAGAATCTCAGTTTCCTCAAATGACTCTAGAACTAAGCTTTCTGTAGCGGTAGGTTATCGAAGGAAGACGTGACCTCCTTTACAAGAGTGTGTCTTTTTCTCTTTCAGCAGCAGCTCACCCTTGCAAATTAAGACAGCAGCAACGACCAACGATGGTGGGGTGAGGTCTGGAGCCGACGACCAAGAAAAAATTCTTGAGACGTCTTTGGTGCCAAATGGTGATTTTATTAAAGCCCGGGGACAGGGTCCGGGGGCAGGAAGAGCTGCTACCCCGGGCCTGTGAGGAGTGGCTGATTATACACCTGAGAGTTGGGAGGGGTTTGAGGATGGCGTAGGCTCTAAGGAATTTTAGAAGCAAGGTTTCGAGGACCTTGAGGGGATATTGGTGGGGAAAGGTCACTTATTACTGGCTAATAAAACCTGAGTCATGAGACCCTTCAGATGACCCTTCAGATGTGTATCGGTGGGTCATGTGCTTGGGGACGATTGCCAACATGAATCTTGGGGGTTTAGAGATAAAGGAAATTTCTAAAGGACTTTTTATACTTTTTCTTTTTAAGATCTTTTTAAATATATTCATTCATGAGAGACAGAGAGAGAGAGGCAGAGACATAGGCAGAGGGAGAAGCAGGCTCCCCACAAGGAGCCTGATGGGGACCCTGGCCTGAGCCGAAGGCAGACGCTCAACCACTGAGCAACCCAGCTGTCCCTCTTTTATACATTAAAGTAGACTCACAGGATCCTGGGGTCGGGCTAAGATTGCCTCTTGCCCTCAGCAAAGTATGAACATTGAGGCAGTTGAGTCCGTAAGGAAGATCCCTCTGCCTGTTGCATGGACTTGTCGATGTGCTGCCCTGGGCTCGTGCTTTGCCCTCAGCTGGCCCTGTGTTCCCCCATCAGTCAAGACTGGAACCTTCCCAAGGCCTATTTCCGTCCCCAAACATTCCCTGTTCACCTACCAAGTGCTGGGCCCCCTTCTGGACACTAGAAACAGAGGAGTGAGCAAGGGGAGG